CTGGATTAAGAATCATTCGTGAGGATGTAGCCAGATACATTTCGAGAAGAGATGGTTACCCAGCTGACGTTGATGACGTCATTTTAATTAATGGAGGGGCAATAGGAATTCAGGTTAGAGACCAATACTCTTTCTACTGGGTTGCAGTTGATCTGTTGATCAAAGTCGTGTGTCTACTCAGTTATATATAACTAGTGCAAAAACGTGATGAGGGCGAAATGTGGTTAGAGCGGAAATGTGGTTTACGTGAGCCGACCAAACAAGTTTGCCACTGTTGTTTGTGACACCTTTTGGGGTCATGTGTGCGTTGAAACTAAGCGGAGACAAGGAAAAATGGAGCCCTAAAAAACTTGACCAGCTCTGCCGAAATTTATCGCGACCATTAACATTTCAAAGTAGCAACTGTTGTAGATACCAGTCTTTTCAGGTTACCTACATGCCTCAGATTGCGACAACTTTACTTTTTAAATGATGCATAAAGTAGAGCAATGTTTGAGGTACGACGCCGAGAAATCACGTTAGCATTTCCATTTAAGCTTTTCAATTTCAAAGGCTGCAGCGAAGAAGGAGAAGAAATTCTGATAAGGTAGACATAAGTAGCGAGTTATGAAGTCACTATGTGTATGTACAACGTAGGCTACCCGCTTGCGTGCGGTGGCTGTAACTTAGTGTGGTAGTGTTTGTGAAGAGTAGTTCTTTAATTTGGATAACAAGAAATACTGCGATTACCACGCAAGGTTTGTTTCGTCTCTGTGAAATTTTTATTTTCTTCAATATTTTCTTCTACAGATAGGCCTAGCATCGCTTGGTACTGATATGCCGAACGGCAAACTTAAGCCAGGGCTTATGATTCCCATTCCAGGTTTTCCTCAGTACAATTCCAGGATTGTAGAATTCAACCTCTACGAGGTAATGCTGACATTGTGTTGAATACTTGCAATCGGCATCTCTCCACTGATTCATTTGCATACTCTTCAGTTTAACGTTTCTTATTCTTTGTATCTCAGTGCTTCATTATTGGACAAGTAGAACTTAACAGAAGAAAAAATTAGAATAGATGAAGGTCTGATATCAATCAGTGACTCATGCTGATTAGAGTCCATAAGAGGAATGACCCAGCTTATGATTGCTATGCTAAAACTGATCGTTCTAATCAGATCCCTTATTATTTGGAAGAAGAAAATAACTGGTCTTTTAACATCGGTGAAATGAAGAAAGCCATAGATGAGGCCAGGCCGCACTGTGAACCAAGAGGACTGGTACTGATTAATCCTGGTAATCCTACAGGTGAGACGTACGTTTGTAACCATGGTAACTAGTGATGTGGTTGGAGATGAACCTGATGTCAATGAGTGAAGCGGAAATATGGTTTTTTATGCTTGTAAATGCGTGACTTTAAATTTGCGTGACATTTGTGTTACAGTT